GCTGAAGTTAAATTCTGTTCAGGTATTTATCATGTTTGAAATCTAATGGGGGAACAAAGCTCAGAATGAAATGCAAGAGTTACCACCAAAGTAGTTATGCATTTACATCAGCAAAAACAAATCACTGGAGATGGAATTTGTTTTAGAGGATGCTAGAAAAGTTTAAGCTCAGTGGTAACAAAAAATATGTAGGAAGTGCTGCTTCCTCAGCATTGGAGCTAGAAATTACTTTATCTGTAGGTCTTACACAGACAAAAGGTAACACCTTGAACAGTTATAGATCAGTTCCAAGACAGCTATTTGCAAGTGAAGCTGCAGTGGAGCATAGTCATTACTTGCTGAGAGCATAACGTATATGATTATGATCAAAACATAAATATCTTGCCTTAAGTCCAACAAAGTCAAATAATTTTATACTTCTAAAGAAATCACTCTTTCTAGATGAGCAACTTAGCCTTAAGGTAACATAAAAAGCTGAACACACACTTGAGAATTGTTACATTGATGGATTCAATTTTACCTGAAACTATCCCCAAAACTATCACATTTCATTGCTTCTAACCACAAATTAACTCGTGCACACAATTCACTTTGTTTTATTTGCAGAGTCTCCCTTCGCCACAGATGTGGAAATGCCGTATGATATTTACACAGCTCAGTCTAAAGATACTTTCAATATCCAACAAAAAAGATACTTAAGCTTTAACTTTTTAACTTCAGGTAACTACACGGCAATACAATTAAACTTATCTTGAACGTTGATGCAGATACCGAGCATCACATTAGTACCTTGCCATAGTAAGAAATCGCTTCTTTGTATTTGTCTATGATATCTTCAGGACTAAGGCAATTCTTGGCACGTCCTATCTCAGCACTGGTATCTGCATTTATACCATTGGAAGTCAGCGCACCTAGAACAGAACGGGGTAAGAAATGAGCAGGAGGACTTATGGCAATTGCTAAATAGCTAAGAAGAAAACAAGGATACGCTGTAGATTTGACCAAGCCACACACAACTACTTGCCCTACCTAGAAAGAAATCATGCCCTACCTAGAACACACTAGTTCTGGTTTACTAATGCTATTTTCAAGAGTGCAAATGAAAAATGGAATCAATCATAAACCAGCAAACAGGAAATAATCTTTCACTTAGGAAAAAACAAATACATTCATAATCTTTTACAGTTATCTGAGTATTTAGACTATGAATAAAATATTATACTGCTAAAATTAGATTATGGCCACATCTGAATATGCAATTTTCTTCTTTGTTCTACTTAAAAACTGTATTTCTAAAGCACACCTAATTAAAAAAATGTGTAATTTTTAATAAACTAATTATTAGAACAGTGACCAGCTCCTTCAATCCTTTAAAACAAATACTTCTCCTCCCTATGTCTAATCACAGAAAACCAAGTTTTATGTTGTAACAGAGGCCACCAAATCTGAGCCTTCCACACTAAAAAAAAAAAAATTATCTGAGGCTCAAACAAAACAGAAATCGCTTTTCCTATATAAGACAGTGAGAGACAGAAAATAGTCTGTACACATATAAGGGATAAGAAGCTGAAATAGAAGCCAGGGAAATCCGAGGTATTACGAAGACGAAAATTTTATTTCTAGAATTTATTTTTAGTGCAGGGTTAACATAATAAAACTGAAAACAAAGGTTTGGAAAGGGTCTATACCTTTTTAATTGTTACTTAATCTATAGGATCACATGCCTAAATTTATATGGTATGTATCTCTCCAAGAGGTTTCTCTAGATGGCAAAGAAATCTTTGTTTCAGAACTGAACCTAACTCTCAATATACAGTTAAAAACTACTGTGAAAGATACTTTCTACTCCCGCTATATATTCAGAAATATGTTATTTTACATGCTCAGATGCTAAAACAACTTTCTTTAGAGTTTGTCAACCTTGAATAATCATACCAAGCCCATCTGTACATTAATACCTTAGGGTTTTTACGGAAGTCAAGTGCAAAATCTTTGTTAGTGAAAGAATACCATGATGCTACAATATTACATGTGACCATTCAGGTTTGTTGGTTTAAAAAAAAAAAAAAAAATTCTTCACTACTCATGAGAAGTAAGTCTTGATTAGAATTTACAGGGACACAGTCATGGAACTACATATTAACTTTGTGCCAGTTACCCCTCAGTCTCTTTGCTTCCTCAAGATTTAGAGTCAAAGTCTGAAGCATCAGGAATCGGTGCCAGTTTTGGCAAGTGGCAGTAACTACACATACAAACGGAAAACATATGCAAGTAATAAAAGACAATACTTTGGAAACATGCATGAAAATAATGTACCTGGATCTATGAGAACTTCTTGTGCCCCTAAAAAGAGGAACAAAAATGATTTTTTTTTCAGCCTTAAATATAGCCAACAAAATAAGCTCTTATAATGTTTTACAAGTAACAACAAGCTTGAACAAAATAAGTTTTATTGGGATCACCATTGCCATTTTGAAGGACTACCAGTTATAATTCAAGTAGTCACAGTATGTTAAATCTCATTTTGTTAAAAAAAAAAAATCCATAAACTTGCAATGAATTTTAAGACACATCGAGAAGAATTGAAGAATTTTCAGTGTATAATTTAAAGTCATATCCTTTTTTTTTAATCTTCTTTTAGTTAGCAAGTTTCCATCACAATCCACTTACTGTATTTTAGTATCAGGTCCTACAGTACTTGTAGGGCCAAGAAGGCCAATGGCATCCTAGGATGCATTAAGAGTGTGGCCAGCAGGTCGAGGGGAGTTATCCTCCCCCTCTACTCTGTGCTGGTGAGGCCTCACCTGGAGTGCTGTGTCCAGTTCTGGGCTCCTCAGCTCAAGAAGGACAAGGAACTACTGGAGAGGGTCCAGCAGCGCCACTGAGATAATGAAGGGCCTGGAGCACCTTCCATATGAGGAAAGGCTGAGAGAGCTGGGTCTGTTTAGCTTGCAGAAGAGGGGGCTGAGGGGGATCTTATCAATGCTTATCAATATCTAAAGGGTGGGTGTCAGGAGGATGGGGCCAGGCTCTTCTCAGTGGTGTCCAGTGACAGGACTAGGGGCCATGGCCATAAACTGGAAAACAGAAGGTTCAACCGGAACATGAGGAAACCCTTCTTCCCTGTGAGGGTGACAGAGCACTGGAACAGGCTGCCCAGAGAGGGGGTGGAGTCTCCTTCTCTGGAGCCTTTCCCAAGCTGCCTGGACTTGGTCCTGTGTGATCTACTCTAGGTGATCCTGCTCTGGCAGGGGGGTGGACTAGATGATCTCTAGAGATCCTTTCCCAACCCTACCACTCTGTGAATTTGTATCCTTGGTAGGAGCTCACTTAACCTACACAATAATGCAGAATAACATTTTCAAGTAATTGTATCCCTTTCAATTGTCATTAATTTCCGTCCATCAAATTTTTCGAATAATTGACTCATGCCAACCCAACAAGCCAGACTATTCACATGCAAGTTGCCAGGAGTATTGCAAAGTTGGATTATTAGACATAAGAACTTTTTGCTCTGAACTGATTAATTATGTCAATAAAATTGCTGAGAACAAGGGTTAAGCAGTCAAAACCAATTGTTTTATGAGTGGGACAGGACCAATCATCAGTTGATTTACTCAGACCTCCAGACTAGTGGAGACTTAAAGCTAGATCAAAAAGATACTACAGCACTTCACTGTCTTAATTCTTCTTGGGGAATGAGAAAGGTCAGGGGACAAAATTAAGAGCTTAGCACTTCAAACAAATATAACAGAGTAGAGAAACAAAAAAACAGCTAGTAAGCTAAATATAAAGCAATCTAAACTCCGCTTATTCAACACATAAATCACATAGCCAACAGACCATAGCCAGGTTCCTGGCCAATAGATGATCTTTAAGGTCCTTTCCAACCTAAACCATTCTATGAATGCAAATTCTTCTTTTACACTGGAGGCTGCAGAGAAAATCCAGCCGTTAGAAGGAACACAGCCTAGAGCTCTCACCCTACAAACAAAAGGTTTGAGGAACTGAAATGTCACACATTTCAAATGTCAAAGTTCCCTTTCCACTGTCAGCAAAACACTGCAGCCCAAGGGCTCACAGAAATGACCAAGGAAGAAACCTGTCTTTACAGCAGGCTAGATTCACAGAATCATAGATTCTTTTAGGTTGGAAAATATCTGTAAGATCATTAAATCCAACTGTTAACTAAACCATGTCCCTAAGTGCCACATCTACATGTCTTTTAAATATCTCCAGGGATGGCGACTCAACCACTTCCCTGGGCAGCCTGTTCCAGCGTTTCATACCCTTTCAGTGGAGAAATTTTCCCTAATATCCAATCTAAAACTCCCCTGGCACAACTTGAGGTCATTTCCTCTTGTCTTATCACTTGTTACTTGGGACACCCACCTCTTTGCAAGCTCCTTTCAGGCAGCTGTAGAGAGTGATCGGGTCTCCTGAGTCTCCTCTTCTCCAGGCTGAACACCCCCAGCTCCCTCAGCTGCTCCTCAGACTCGTTTTCCAGACCCTTCCCCAGCTTTGTCACCCTTCTCTGGACACACTCCAGCATCCCTATGTCAGTGAGGGGGCCACAATCTGGACACACTCCAGCATCCCTATGTCAGTGAGGGGCCCAAAATTGAACACAGTACTCGGGGTGCAGCCTCACCAGTGCCCAGTACAGGGGCCCAATCACTTCCCTACTCCTGCTGGCCACACTGTTCCTGATGCAGGCCAGGATGGTGTTGGCCTTCTTGGCCACCTGGGCACACTGCTGGCTCATATTTAGCTGACTCTTGACCAACACCTCAAGGTCCTTGTCCACTGTAGAGTAGTCCTTGTCCACTACTGTCAAAACTCATGAGTACTAGGCTATTAAGTTATTCTTTGTATAGAGACCATACCAAAATCATCTTTATTGCCAATCTGCAACCTCCTTCAGGCACAAAAACGAAAGATAGGAAACATGAACACCCTTTTGAGTTGGAACACTGAAATGGTCTACAGTATTCCAGATTCAACCACAAAGATATTTTCTATGTTTTTATTTTGTGTTACTCTCCTACTGATTGCTAATATAGTGTAAGCAGATCGTTCCTCAAAGATTGTCTATCATATCGAAGTTAATACAATCCTCATCTTCATTAGGCAATCTGAGAGTTTAGAAAAAGTATACGAAATTCTAAAAATTATGTTGGTTTATTGGTATTTAATTAACCAAACCCATTTATTAAATATTGACCTTAGAATAGAAAAAAAACCTGAATAAATGTACCTAACTTATTCTTAGTATGTGATCTGGCGCATCAAAGCTTTACTTGGAAAACTACCTGCATCTCCTTCAGCAAAAATCACACAAACACAGACACTATTAACAATCAGATGAAGAGATCAAAAGCTTCGCAACTCTGCAAAGCACGTGCCAACATTACCGCCAAAACAGAAGTAATGTAAAAAACCTTAAAGATTTTTAAATTAATCTTAAAGAAATACAGTTCTCCCCTCCTGCCCGCCTCCAACATTTTATCCTGTCAGCGGTATAATTTTACAGAGTTAGGAAGTAGAGAGGAAATTTTCAGGTGTTCATTGGTGGCAAAGAGCATAAAAATGAAATCCCATCCTTACCTGGTCTGTGTCTGTTGCCAGCCTCAGCAGAATGAGAACCCCCTTGTGCCCTGCGAGATCCAACTTTACCTCCAGTACCACCTGGATAATGATAGATGACTGATGCTGAGCATAACCCCTCAAGAGCAGCTGTAAAGAAAAGACCCAAGAAATTAGTAGAGATATTTGCAGGTAGTCAAGTAGCATGTAGGAAAGTCTATTGTGTTATGGTGGGGGTAGCCCCAAAAGAAAAGGAGGCAAGGGGGAAGGTTTTAAAAAACTGTTTGCGTTTGTCTTTCTTACTGTTTTGACTGGTAACTGATTGATTTTTCTTCCCCAAGTCAAGCCTGTATTACCCATGACCATAATGGGCAAGTGATCCCTCCCAGTCCTTGCCTCAGGCCACAAGCTTTTCCTTGTATTTTCTTGTCCACATTCCAGTGGGAGGAGTGAGTGAGCAGCCTCGTGGTCTTTTGATCCCAACTGGGCCTAAACTACAGCATCTATTTACACTAACAAAGTATGCCTCAAGTGGGAGGCCTAGTGACAAAGGTAATGGAAAAGCCTAAGATACTCCATGTCCTTTTTACCTCTGTTTTCACTGGTAAGGTTTACCCTCAGATCTCCCAGGTCTCCAAGCCTACCAGCAGAATCTGGAGGAGTACACACTAGCCACAGAGGAAGACAGACAACAAAGCACTTAATCCAATTGGATGCAAATCCACAAAACCAGGTAAGATGCACCCATGGGTGCCAAGAGAGCTAGCCAATGTGAGACCACTCTTTTACACCAGAGGTCTACAGGCAGATCAACATCAGCTTCCTGCAAAGGCTGATGAAAAGGCTATAAAGAAAACCTGGAAGCCATTTCCAAGCATACGAATGGCAAGGCGATTAGGAAGAGGACACGTTGGTTTACCGAGGCGGGGGCGGGGAAATCAGTCCTTGGCAATCTCACTGCCTCCTAAGCTAAGATGATTGGCTCAGTGGACAAAGGAACAGTTGTGAACATACATTGACTTTCGTAAGACCTTTGAACATACAGTCTCCCATAGCATGCCTATAGCCAAATTGGTAAGATTTGGACACCCAGCCTACCAGTAGGTAGAAAACAGGCTGGACAGTTTCCTTTGAGGATTATGATTAGTAGTACAAAGTCCAAATGGTTGCCCATTACTAGTGGTATCCCCTCAGGGATGAATGCTGGGGACAATACTCTTGTCTTCATTAATAGCCTGGATGATTGCACAGAGCAATCCCAGAAAATTCCTGGGTGACACCAAATGGGGAGGACAAGCAGGGCAGGCCTTCAGTGCAGAACTTGACATGCTGGAGATACGGGCTGACAGGAGCCTCATGCAGTTCAAGAAAGGCTCATGCCTATCAGATAAGCCTATACAGCAGTGCAGTGTGGGAGCTGACTGGTTGGAAAGCAGCTTTGCAGAAAAGGACCTGGGGGTCCCAGTGGACAACAAGTTAACAGCAGTTAGCAGCAGGCCCTTGCAACAAAGAGGGCCAACCACATACTGGGATGTTACAGCCACAGCGTCGCCAGTGAAGTGAAGGGAAGCAATTATTCGCCCCTGTTCTGCATCTGAGCAACCACGTTTGGAGTAATGTGGCCACCTTTGGGGTACCCAGTACTAGAAAGACATTAAAATCCCAAAGCAAGTCCAGTGGAAGGCCATCAAAATAATCAGTGGGCTAGAGCCCATGACACGAGAAACAGAGAGAACTGGGTTTGTTCAGCCTTAAATAACAAGAGGCTAAGGGGAGATCTTACTGCTGTCTTTAAACACCCAGTGGGAAGGTACAGAAGAGATGGAGTCAGATGCTTCCCAAAGGTGTGGTGACTGGATGAGGATCAACACAAGTTGACACAGGAAATTCTGCTTTAATGTAGGATCAGTTTATGTTTTGCTATTGGTTTTTTTTTCAAACTGTAAGCAGTAAAGTGTTGGAGCGGGTTGCTCAGAGATTGTAAAACTACCATCCTTAAATATACCTAAAAACTCAACTGGACAGGTCCTTCTTGGAGCGAGTCCAGAGGAGGCCACGAAGATGATCAGAGGGCTGAAGTACCTCTCCTATGATGAAAGGCTGCAAGGATTGGGTTTCTTCAGCCTGGAGAAGAGGAGGCTCCAGGGAGACCTTATTGCAGCTTTCCAGTATCTGAAGGGGGCTACAAGGGTGCTGGGAGAAGACTTTTTACAAGAGCCTGTAGTGACAGGACAAGGGGTAATGGGTACAAATTGAAATCAGGGAGGTTTAGATTAGACAGCAGGAAGAAATTCTTCACAGAGAGGATGGTGAGGCACTGGAACAGGTTGCCCAGAGAAGCTGTGGATGGCCCATCCCTGGAAGTGTCCAAGGCCAGGCTGGATGAGGCTTGGAGCAACCTGGTCTAGTGGAAGGGGTCCCTGCCCATGGCAGGGGGGGTGGAACTGGATGATCTTTAAGGTCCCTTCTAACCCAAACCGTTCTGTGATTCTATGATAAACAGGAGATCAGACTTGAGGACTTCCAGTGGTGACTTCCAATCCAAATTATGCTGAGTCTAAATGTATATTTTGGTAGTTCAAACAGATGGGCCTTAAAATATTGTCATGCTCTGCACAAGGAAAAAAGTTATCCTTTTCTGCTTGAAGAATCCTGAGCCATTTAACCTTTCAGAAGAGTTGAAGGAAAGAAGTGGAAGGTCAGAAGGTGTTATGGTTTTCACAAATATAACCTACAAAGCCATTAGGAAGCTAAATGGATTTCCAAACAGAATGAGAAAGCTAAAAGCAGAACTGGAGACAGTGATTGTCCAGAAAGGGTATGAAATTGAGAAGCAAAAGTGGTGCTCAAAGATCACTTGGATATCCAATAAAGAGAAAAGTGAGAATGAAAGAAGGATGAAGGAAAAGGCTGGGGGGGGCAGGAAGAAAAATTAAGCCTGGGACATACTGGGAAATGAAGGAAGTTATGCTAGGGGAAGGTAAACACCTGTGGCTTTGGCAGCTGTAAAGGTAAAAATCTTTTCCTAACAATCCACAGCAGATACCCACAGGAAAGATTTTTAAACCATCTGCACAGTCCACTGAAAAAAAACCCCAAACACCTTCCAAAGAATTATTTAAAAGTCAGATGCAGAATTTTAAGTACATGCTTTACTACAGTAACACATTTTGTGTCGCAGGTTTTTCTTAAATACGCTTTTCTCATGTCTTATTAACTAGCTTTTATTTCACCTTAATTCTTAGTCACACACGATAATTCAGATTTTGGTCACCAAAATCATTCATACTTTCCACAACAGAAAGGGAAGTCATAGAAGAGTTTGCTTTACTTGGTTTTAACAACTAATTATTTCATTCACTATGACCACTTAATCCTACCTCCAAGCCACAGAAAGTCATTCACAGACCGCAGAAGTTCCACTGCCATGTGATAATGCACCAAGGAATCTTGTAACATGCCAGCTTGTAAACACAGGTCACCAACATGTTTCCGCATCCGGCCTTGACAACGCTTCTTATAGTGTCTGCAAAGGAAAACGTACAATTTACATTTATTTACAGAAAACGCTTATTTGAGGTAATAAACCAAGTCAATTTTCTTTCCTGCTTAACAGTAGATCAACATTAATTTACTTTCTTTCTCTGACCAAACATCCAGTATGAATTCTAAGCAACATAATATACGAACGTAAAAGAACCAACAATTTGAGGATACATTAAAAAAAAAGCAATGCATCAGGTATTTTGGCCACACAGAATTTACACAGATAGAGTCACAAAGTTAAATTGATTTGAAGTAGTCTTTTAATAGCCTTGTCACAAATTAAATAGAACAGAATAACAGAATCACCCAGATTGGAAGTGACCTCAGAAGATTATCTGGTCCGACCTTTCATGGGAAAGGGAATCTAGACGACATCATCTAGCACCTTGCCCAAGCACATCTTGAAAACCTCCAAAACAAGGTTTTTGTAGTCCTCAATGGGTATTTGGCTGCCTTTCCATAGCTGGTATGCTTGGTTTTTACTTTTCAGTACACCCAAAACCTCATTGTTAAGTCAGGGTGATGTCTTTTTTGCCTTCTTCCTTTTCCTGACTAAGGAAGGGACCATTCTTGTGCTTCCAAGCAGTCTGTTCTTTAGTAACTGCCAGGACTCAAAAGCTCCTCTGCCATCCATGAGCCATGGAATCCCTTGCATCTGGGCTCTCAGCATATTGAAGCTGGTTCTTTTAAAATCCAGGGTCTTTGTCCTGCTACGGGTCGTAAGCATGCCCAGCAGGATCTTAAAACTCTCCAAGTGGCGGCCACTGTATCCAAGGCTACCATTGGCAGAGTGCACAACCCTTCCAGAGCAAACTGCTGGCACAGAATCACACAGGTTGGAAAAGACCTGTAAGATCATCGAGTCCAACCATCAACCCACCACTACCATAACACGCTAGACCATGTCCTCAAGCGCCACGTCTCCACGTTTCTTGAACACCTCCAGGCATGGTGACGCCACCACTTCCCTGGGCAGCCTGTTCCAGTGCCTGATCGCTCTTTCAGTGAAGAAGTTTTTCCTACTATCTAATCTAAACCTGCCCTGACACAGTTTTTGAGGGGCCCAAAACTGAACACAGTACTCGAGGTGAGGCCTTACCAGTACTGAGTACAGGGGCACAATCACTTCCCTACTCCTGCTGGCCACACTGTTCCTGATGCAGGCCAGGATGGTGTTGGCCTTCTTGGCCACCTGGGCACACCGCTGGCTCATATTTAGCTGACGACCAACACACCCAGGTCCTCTTCTACCTGACAGGTTTCCAGCCACTCATCCCCAAGCCTGTAGTGCTGCCTGGGGTTGTGGTGATCTAAATGCAGGACCTGGCACTTGGCCTTGTTGAACCTCATACAACTCACCTCAGCCCATCGATCCAGCCTGCCCAGGTCCCTCTGCAGGGCTCTCCTACCCTCCAGCAGATCAACACTTCCACCCAAGTTAGTGTTGTCTGCAGACTGACTGAGGGAGTGCTCAGCCCCCTCATCCGGATCATTGATAATTACATTAAACAAGACCGACCCCAACACTGAGCCCTGGGGGTCACCACGTGTGACCGGCTGCCAACCGCACTTAACTCCGTTTCCCACAACCCCCTGTGCTCTGCCATCCGGACAGTTTTTTTACACAGTGAAGAGTTCACCTGTCTGGTCCATGAGCCGCCAGGGCACTGCTCCCTGTGCCCTGCTCCCCATTGGCAGCATCCCGGTGGCTGGCGCTGCCCAGGGCTCAGTTCCATGCACATTCCTGCGCTTTGGGCTGGCGGCACCGCCCAGCTCTCGAGACCCGCCGGCCGCTTGCCCTCCGCACACAGCCTCAGGGTGTCAGCAGCCCAGAGTCCCCGCAAACCCAGTGGCCACAGGAGCCCCATGCTCCTCCTGGCACACAGCAACTGCTGGTGCTGGCGTTGACTTCTCACGGCTTGTAACGCCTTGCTTACGTTTGTGAAGAAATACTACCTTTTTACAAGCCTCAGGGTCCTGAAACAGGAACAGTTTTCTTTTGAGGGGATGATTTGTGAAAGACCACTATTACCTCAGGCAAGAAGTGACAGTGTTTCTCTTGCCACTCCTTTTTTTACGTATTAAAATAAATTATGTTCTTCCTTTTTGTGAACAAAATTAATAGACAAGGCCAATGAAGTTCAACTTCAACAGACATTTTGGTGCAACTGAAAAGACAGCCTGGGCACAAATCCATGCAACAAAGCCACTAACTTTTTTTTTAAGTTGTTTTGTGGTAATTAGCAGCTAAAGAAACGTGGCATGCGAAGTAAGGACACGCTATGCTTTACAAGTGCCTCATGATTTAAGTCACAGCTCAGAACAATGCCATGCTCCGGTGTCCATCAGCAATTCTCCTGTTCTCCCTCCTGCAAAAGTATTCCCTAGCAAGAATGTCCTTGTTCTACCTTATAAAACTGTTTTCTTAAGAGAAAAATTAAACGTCAACTTAGATATTTTATTCATTTATCTGCATTACTCCAACATCATACCCTTTAGTTCTAACACTGCCTTCAGAGTACATAACTATACCGAGAGGCGTACAATCTCATTGTCCAAACGTCACACCAAGGAAAAAAGAAATTTTTTTTTTTTTCCTTTGGATGGTTTAAACTAAAAGCTACTTGAGAATGAAATTTTAATTAAAAGAATTGCTGTGGATGTCATTCTACAGCATGTAGAATGCTGTTTGTATACTATCTCTAAAGAATCTTGTTAATAAGGGGTTCCAAAAATACAAAGAACCACCTCAGATTAACTGTCACAGTTCTACGTTTCTAGCTTTTAGTAGATGTAGTGATATTTTTTCAATTAAACTAAGTCCAACAGACTATCTTTTAAAAAAATAACCTAGCATATTTGAACCTAACAACTTACTTAAAAAAAAAAAAGTAACAGCCATTCTCCAGATGCTGAACTCTGATATTCAAGTCTTGCTCCAGGATGTAAGAGGAATTGCCATGGTTATGGAATGAAATGGAGTTTGGGGTGGTGGGTTTTTATTCCAGCAAAGAACCTCCAATTCGATCCTACAGATCAATTAAAGTGTAACTGAAAATCTCTCATACCATGTCTGAACAGACTATCTTCATGCGGTCTGTAACGTGGGGGACAGAACATAGGAAGTATAAGGGTAGGAATAAGCGTATGAATTTATTTCCTTTAGATTTTAAGGCAGAAAGGCTGGGATAAATTGTAAAAATTAAAACAATTACATGTTGCTGGTTTGTTTGCTTTGGAGGTGTTTGGTTTGGGATTATACACCAAAGAGAAGCATGAAGTCCAAACAATAACCACTGTGTTCAGCCACCAAATGTCTTATTCCTTGTAGCTGGAAGGAAAGAGTTGGAAAAAAAGAGTAGATCATCAAGAAAGTAAAAAGAAAATAATTGATTTATATGGATGGAGGGCAGAAATTAAAAAAAAAATAGATATATGGAAGCTTTATATGGATGGAGGGCAGAAATTATAAAAAAAAAAATAGATATATGGAAGAACATGCAATATCCTTACAAAAATTAAATAGAAAAGCAATCAGAATCAGTATCATTGCTTACAAGGAAAACTGGAAAATACAAAAGGAGTCAAGAAGCATGTCTCCTACTGCTCCTCTCCATCGAAAACATTACAAATAACACCTATATAAATATTTGCATTTTTTTACCTATCACATCATATTCACAATTGACGTGAAGATGACAACATCAAATGAAGCTAAATATGACTGCTGTTATCTTTCAAATATCAAGAAATTGCAGTATTTCTTTTCTCCGAGCAGCTCCGAGGAGAAGGACTT